GGCCGGTCCCGTCGTCGAAGTAGTCCGGCTGGTACATGTAGAGCACCCTGTCGAGCTTGCTCTGCAGGAAAGCGTTCTTCATGTCGAGCTGCATCAGGTTGAGGTCCAGAACGGCGACGATGATGAGGAAGATTCTCAGCGTGACGTAGCTGCTCACCGGCGAGTACGTCTCATCGTAGTCGGCACCGTACACCTGCGTAATGCCCTTCACGACCAGCCTCGCCTTCTCGCGCTCGACGGTGTCGTCGATGCGGTACTTGGTCGTCTGCACCCACCGGTTCTTCATGATGTTCACCCCGCGTGGGCGTTTGACCAGCTCCCAAGTCCCCATGCCGGTGAGACTGCGGATCTCTTCTTCCATGGCGGCCTTCACCGCCTCGCCCTTCCAGCTCGACAGCGCCTCCTTCACCGTCATCATGGCGATGTCCCAGCGGTGTTCGGGGTCGGCATGCACGTCAGGGTCAAGCTCCGGCAGGTCGTCATCCTCCTCGGCGTCGTCGTACACAGCTCCCCTGTCGACCGCCCCGGCTGCTGCTCCCCTGTCGGCTGCACCGCTGCTATAGCCTCCTGTTCGACCGGCTCCCCTGGCTGCTCCCCTGTCCTCGACTGCTTCCCATCCAGGTCGACGAGCTTGGCGCCTTGTCGACCGTCGCCGATGTCATGGGTAGGCGCCATAGGCGGCGCCTCAAGGCTCCCCTCATCGCCGGTGGCCGACACAGGTGTCGAAGCAGGTCGATCTGCGACGGGAGAGGGAGGAGCAAGAATAGGGGGAGGTGGAAGAACCGCCACAACATCCTCATCAGCAGGCTCGTCGACGTCGGCGAGCAGTGGAACCGTTGCCGTCGAGGTGGCCGTCGGCGGGTGCGCTTGCGTCCGCTCCGACACCGGCCCATACTTCGCCTTCCACACCTCCAGCGACAGCGTCTCGTAGAAGATCACCTCGACCGACGTGACCACCTTGTTGTCGGTCAGGTCGAGCACCTCCCAGCCCTTGTTCTCCGGCGACACACCGAGGTGAAGCCCCCAACGAGCCTTCGGCGCCAGCTTCCTACTGCGCTGATGCTCGGGAACCATAAACTGCACCATGCAGCCCCACACCTGCGCTAGCGTAAGGTTGGCCCTCTGCCCGGTCAGCAGCTGGTACGGAGTCGTTCCCGGCGGCGTCGTCGACCGCTCCAAGCATTTGCGCACCCAGACCGCTTGTCGTAGAGCAAGGTGCCACCAGTGATGCTGCACGCCCATGTGCAGAAGCATCGTCCGGACGGACTCGACGACCGTGCGCATCTCCCGCTCAGCCATGCCATTCTGCTGCAAAGTGTAGGGGCACGTCAGGTCGTGGACGATGCCCTTCCCATCGACGAAGTCGGTGAACGCCTTCCCGAGGAATTCCCCTCCTCGATCGGAGCGAAGCGACAGCACCGACTTCTTCGTCTATCGTTCCACAAGCACCAGCCACTTCTCGAACTCCCGCAGCACGTCGCTCTTCTTAGCGACCGGCATTGCCCACGCGAATCGAGTATGGCGATACTTCAGCAGTAGGAAGTACAAGCTGCCATCCTTGGCAGCCACCCGAAATGGCCCGCACAAGTCAATGTGCACGACAGCCAGCGCCTCCGCTGCATCTGAGCCCTTGGCGGGGAAGGTGTGCCACGCCAGCTTTCCTCCGACGCACGAGACACACGGCGGGTCTGCTCCGGTTGACGACGTGAGGTCGAGCCCAGTAGCAACATCATGCTTCGCCGAGCTCTTGATCGTGTCGACGCTGACGTGTGCAAGCCGTGCATGCATCCTATCGGGGGTCGTCTTCGTCACCGAGACGATCATTCGCAGAGCCACCACCTCGGTTGACTGCGACTGTGTCGAGCAGGGGCGAAGGTCGGTGCAGAGGACTCGTCTAGTGTAGCGTGCTCGACCGAGCACCTCCCCGGTCGCGGCGACGAGCAGCATCTCATCGCCATCGCCCTGCAACAGCACTCCGCTCTCCTTCAGCTGGCCAGCAGACAGCAGGTTTGCCTATACGCCCGGAACGTAGAGTACGTCGGGGATGAGGACCCGCTTCTCGGCCTCCCCTTGCAGAGCGACGGTTCCGCGACCCTCGACAGGCTGCAATGCCCCGTTGAAACCACGCACGTGCTTACCCCCGTCGCTCAGCCCCATGTCGACGAAGACCGACTTCGTCCCCATCAGGAAGTGGGAGCACCCGCTGTCGAGCAGCACCGCCATCGAGTTGGCCTGCACAGCTGCCGCCACTGCCTGGAAGTCCTCGCTAGCCTCCGGTGCTAGCGAGACTGTCGGCTCCACCACGCCGACCATCGAGCACGACGCCTCCGCGTCGCCTCGGCTCTTGCCGCTGGAGCTGTCGACGTCCTTCATCGACGACGTCTTCTTCGACGCTTGCTTCTCCTTGCGCGGCTTCTCAACTCGACGGGGGCGACGACTGGCCGATCGACCGCGACCTCCCTTGTTGTCGTCCTCGTCGCTGTCATCGCGGTCGGAGCACTCGAAGGAGAGATGGTCGGGGTCACCGCAGACCCAGCACTCCCGCCGTCGACCACCACCTCGTCGACCCTTGTCCCGCGTCGACCTCTTCTCGTCGACGTCCTTCGTCGACCGCCCACCTCCGCTACCACCCCTGCCTGGCTTCCCGCGCTGCTCCTGCTGACACTTCGGCTTCGTAGGTGCAGCGTAACTCGCTTGCGGAAGGAACTCCGTGGGCTGCTCTGTCTCCTGCATCGCCTCATCCTTGAGGATGTAGGTGGTAAAGGAGTCCTTGTTGAGGGACTCACGTGTGCCGGGCACCATCGTAAACCTCTTCATGAGGTTGTAGCTACGCGGCAGGCCCTTGAGGACGTGGGTGATGTAGGACGCCGTGGAGTATTCGGCGCCCGCCATCCTCATCTCAGCTAGGATCCGTCGAGCTCGGTTGCAGTAGTCCGTCGCCGACTCCTTCTCGCCCATTCGAATGTGAGTTATCTTCTCCTCTAGCAGTCCGATGTACAGGTCGTCCCTGGCCTGGTACGTCGACATGATGAAGTGCCATGCCTGGTGACCAGCATCCAGTCGCTCTCGACAGCTCCTGAGCGCTAGCTGCACCACTGGCGAGCAGCACCTCGAGATGACCATGAAGGTGAGCAGGTGAGCAGAACAAAACTCCCTGCGTAGCTCGACATTCTCCTCGGGCGGAAATGACGCGGTGCCATCGGCGAAGCCCTTCAGCCCGGCGACCTCTAGCTGAGGTTCAATTGAGTCCCTCCAGGTGATGAGGTCCCGTCGACCTTGCATCGGTGCGACGGCGATCCGGTCCGGCGAGAACTTGAAGTAGCCATACGCCGGTGCAATCCCGCCCGCCGTCACGTGTGTCGTCACCGAGAGCCGTCCACCACTTCGTGGAGGAGAACGGCGTCGAACATCGACGTCGGCACGCGAGCTCCTTGCAGCAGCCGTCGACCGCTGCACTCCCGCCTGGATTCCGTCAACACCACTGTCGACCTTGATCACTCCTCTCTGCCTCGTGCCTTCGCTGCCATTAACTCGTGCACCAGCGTCGACCTCGTTGTCGACGCCACCTTCGTTGCGCACCGGTCGAGGAAAAGTAGGACGGGAAGGGTGTTCCGTCGCCCACTGCGCCCGGATGCCCAACTCGGCGATCACCAAGGGGATCGTCCCGTACTCGCCATCCACGTGGCGTCTCCTCGCGTCAGCCAAACGTGCCTCCAAGGTGTCTGCTACACCCGCATCAACTACGGGGTCGACCATGGCGACTATCGCTGCTGCCGGCCTACGAACGACTTAGTAGGTGCAAAAGTCGGCTCCTATCTGAAGGTCGCGTGTTCGATCCACGCTCACCGCACCATGCGGAGATCCACTCTACAACGGTAGTGAGCTAGACTACAGGGCTGGCACGAACTACTAGAGGTGATTGTAGCTTTGCTTGGTTCCTTAGTGCTTGCACATTCACGAGAGAGATTGACAAGAGTTTCCACTAGCAAAGTTGAGAATACAGAATAATTCAAGAAGCAATGACAACAATGACTACATCAGGCACCTAGCAACCCTGCAGCTAGCCTGGTCGACCACCAGCGCAGCTCGGTCGACCGCCTGCCAGCATTGCGTAGAGGAGCCGCGCCAGCACTGCAGAAGGGCGACATGCCAACAAAGCAGGTCAACGGCGTGCCCCGTAGAACACAGATGTGCGCGCGCTCGCAGGTGTGCGCAGACGATTGGCCCGACTTGCCTCGTTGGGCATCCGTCGGCCGTTGTCTGCACCTGACGAGCCACATCGACTTCGGGATACGAGCCCGAAGTCACCTGCGCCATCGCGATCTCGACGACGTTCGCGATCCTCCGCAGAACTCGTCGAGCAGGTTACCCGGTCGACCTGGTCGACCCCTGGTGCTCTGGTCCACCCCCAGGTGCCTCCGGTCGACCACTGGGTCCCTCTAATCGACCACCAGGCGCTCCTGGTCGACCACAACTCCTGTCAAGCTACCCCCTGGTCGACGGACCCCTTTCGTCGACCAGAACTGCTCTGTCGACCTCTCGGTCGAATTGCAGTTCGACGGGATGCTCCAGAGACCTCCCTGTCGAGCTGCAGGTCGACGGGAGGCTTCGGAGACCTCTAGGTCGAAGTGCAGGTCGACGAGATGCTCCAGAGACCTCCCCGTCGAACCGCAGGTCCTGGTCGACGTCCCACCCGTCGCCCAGACCAGTCAGTTGCAGCTGTCGAGCTCCCTGGTCGACAACAACACCACAACGGTCCCCTGGAGCTCGACGAAGCCTGTCGAGCAGCTCTCCCACTATGAACAGTCGGCTGCTACTCCCATACATCCGACCAAGTCGCCGGCGTTGCCCAAGCGAGGTCGGGGCCAACACTCCATTCCTGTTAACAGAACACACATGTAGCACTCACCCTCATCACTAGTAGACACAGCATACATGGCAGCAAGAATAGCATCATAGTCAAGATCAAAGATAGCTACCCCAGCCCTAGACAACTCTCCCTAGCGAGGGATCTCAGTGGCGTTAGGGAACTGATGACGCCAAGCGTCCATCAGGCGGCCAAAGCACCGCTGGGTGGAGTGCGTGCCCCCGCACTGCTCACCAGCGCGATCGCCTGTACGGAGGACGTAGGTGCAGGGACCAGTACCCCCACCCCGCTCACGCCCAGCGTACCACTCACGAAGCTGCTGAGAGGACAGGGTCTCACGACCGCGCTGCTGCTGCTGGCGCGGACCACCACCAGAGCCACTCCTTTGCGCAGAGCTGCGACCAGCTCCACCGCCACCTCCACCGCCTCCGCCACCTCCGCCGCCTCCGCCACCGCCACCGCCTCCGCTCCCTCCGCCACCCCCGCCGTCTCCTCCGCCTCCAGTGCTGCCACCGACACCTCCAGCCCCGCCACCACTCCCACCACCACCCCCAACCCCCTCCACTGCCTCCACCACCACCTCCACCGCCCCCACTGGCCCCCCCAGCACCCTTGCCCCCCTTGCCCTTGCCGGTGCGGCGCTTCCCCCGCTAGGGACAGACGCAGCACCGACCGACTCGAAACCAACGAGGTCGGCCGCAGCAGCAGAAGCAACAGAGGGCAAGAGTGGGGAGGGAGAACACCCCTCAAAGACGGGGGTGCGAGGGTCACCACGAGAGGCTCCTACAGCGACTATGCTCTTCTCTGCTGCTAGGAGGCGCTCCTCGAGGAGGTCAACGGTGAGTGTGGTGGGGCAAATTGAGAGGAAGTGGTCCCTGACTAAGCGAAGGGAGTCAGGGAGCCGGGTGACTATGTAGTAGAGGGAGATGTACATGGGGGGGGGGTTCTTGGCACAGAACTCAGCGGGAAGCGCAGCGCAGTAGCGAGTGTCACTAGTGCGAAGGTGCGTAATGAGGTCAGCGACTGTGGGAAAGGCACCAAGGTCAGGGAACAGGTACGGCAGTATGAGGCGGCTAAGCGCAGCAGTGGCAGGGGAGGAGTAGCGTGCAGCTACAGCGTCGTACAAGGTCTTAGCACTCTTGTACTGGCTAAAGTGCGCACGCTCAGTGGTCGATAAGTGGGGACGCACAGCAAGACGTGCAGCAGCATCGCGCGTGGCCCACTGTGAGCAAACAGTGCTGTCAGAAGTAGCAGGCGGGGCAGGAGAGACACCAGAGGAGAGATCGAACAGTGAGAGTCCATCCGCCCTATCGCACTGTAAGAACAGCTGGAGGTCATCGACCCAGACCTCAAAGTCAACAGCACGACCCTCAGTATCAAAGGTAAGGACACTGGGGGGTAGCAATGACTGCAGCGGTCTATCAGGGAGTGAGCTCACCAATCCAAGGAAGTAGGGCCGGGGCGCGCCGGAAGGAAGGGCGGCTCGGCGGCTCGGTGGCTCGGCGGCTCGGCTGCTGGGCGGATCGGCGGCTCAGCTGCTGGGCGGCTCGGCGGCTCCCCTGCTGGGCGGCTCGGCGGCTGGGCGGCGCGGCGGCTCGGCTGGTGGGCGGCTTGGCGGCTCGGCTGCTGGGCGGCTCGGCGGCTCGGTTGGCGGGCGCCTCGGCTGCTGGGCTGCTGGCGACGTTGAAGGGGCCGGTAGAGACGGCGACGGGGCCGTGAAGGGGCGGCGACGGGGCCGCTGAGGGCGGCTACCGGGCCGCTAGGGTCGGCGACGGGGCCGGCAGGGCGGTGACGGGGCCGCTGATGGCGGCGACAGGGCCGGTAGGGTCGGCGACGGGGCCGCTTAGGGCGGCGACAGGGCAGGTAGAGCGGCAACGAGGCCGGTAGGGTCGGCAACGGGGCCGCTTAGGGCGGCGACGGGGCCGGTAGGGCGGCGACGGGGCCGGTAGGGTCGGCAACGGGGCCACTTAGGGCGGCGACGGGGCCGCAGGGGTTGGCGACGGGGCCAATAGGGCAGCGACGGGGCCGCTTAGGGCGGCGACGGGGCCGCTTAGGGCGGCGACGGGGCCGCAAGGGTCGGCGACGGGGCCGATAGGGCGGTGACGGGTCCGCGTAGGGCAGCGACGGGGCCGCAAGGGTCGGCGACGGGGCCGATAAGGCGGTGACGGGGCCGCTTAGGGCGGCAACGGGGCCGCAAGGGTCGGCGACGGGGCCGATAGGGCGGCGACGGGGCCGCTTAGAGCGGCTACGGGGCCGCTAGGGTCGGCAACGGGACCGTCAGGGCGGCGACGGGGCCGCTAGGGTCGGCTACGGGGCCGCTAGGGTCGGCAATGGGGCCGGCAGGGCGGCGACAGGGCCGTGAGAGGGGCCGCGAGGGGCCGCGAAAGGGGCCGCTAGGGGCCTAAGGAGGGCGCGACGGGCCGCCAAGGGCTAGGACGCGACGGGAGGGAGGGCACACGGGGCGCGACTCGGGCAGGAGAGGAGCGCGCTCCGGGCAGAATTTTTTTAGTGGTGGGCCCTTAGGAAGCGTTCCCACTAGGGTACCTACTCTATACCATGTGAGAATCTGAGGAAGGAATGATTGCATTGAGCAGGTCGACGGGATGCTCCAGAGACCTCCCGGTCGAGCTGCAGGTCGACGGGAGGCTTCGGAGACCTCTCGGTCGAAGTGCAGGTCGACGAGATGCTCCGGAGACCTCCCCGTCAAACCGCAGGTCCTGGTCGACGTCCCACCCTTTGCCCAGACCAGTCAGTTGCAGCTGTCGAGCTCCCTGGTCGACAACAACACCACAACGGTCCCCTGCAGCTCGACGAAGCCTGTCGAGCAGCTCTCCCTCTATGAATAGTCGGCTGCTGCTCCCATACATCCGACCAAGTCGTCGGCGTTGCCCAAGCGAGGGCGGGGCCAACACTCCATTCCTGTTAACGGAACACACATGTAACAGTCACCCTCATCACTAGTAGACACAGCATACATGGCAGCAAGAATAGCATCATAGTCAAGATCAAAGATAGCTACCCCAGCCCTAGACAACTCTCCCTAGCGAGGGATCTCAGTGGCGTTAGGGAACTGATGACGCCAAGCATCTGTCAAGCGGCCGAAGCACCGCTGGGTGGAGTGCGTGCCCCCGCACTGCTCACCAGCGCGGTCGCCTGTACGGAGGACGTAGTTGCAGGGACCAATACCCCCACCCCGCTCACGCCCAGCGTACCACTCACGAAGCTGCTGAGAGGACAGGGTCTCACGACCGCGCTGCTGCTGCTGGCACGGACCACCACCAGAGCCACTCCTTTGCGCAGAGCTGCGACCAGCTCCACCGCCACCTCCACCGCCTCCGCCACCTCCGCCGCCTCCGCCACCGCCACCGCCTCCGCTCCCTCCGCCACCCCCGCCGTCTCCTCCGCCTCCAGTGCTGCCACCGACACCTCCAGCCCCGCCACCACTCCCACCACCACCCCCAACCCCCTCCACTGCCTCCACCACCACCTCCACCGCCCCCACTAGCCCCCCCAGCACCCTTGCCTGAGAAAGTGTGAACGAGAATGAATGACTATGAAGTGAAGTGAATACAAATAGGAAACCCTAATTGTGTTGTACCCCCTATGGGATACCCCACTATAGCCTACAGAAACAAGTAAGCTATATGTTCTGACACACCCCCATAGGCAAAGTGGGGGAGAACAAGGGGTCACAAGACCAGTCAAGCAAAGCAAAGCAAAGCTCAGGGTGGATCACAAAGTCACCACGCATTCCGAGCACAAGTTCAAAGGCCAGAAGGCCAGTTCACATGCAAGATCATATATAGAGATATACAAGAGTCAAGCAAGCAAGAGCAAGAGTATATATAGGCGAAGGTACAAGCAAGGTCAGGAGGAGAGCAAGTGAGGCAAGACAGGCACAAGACCCAACTGCGTGCAACAACGCTGATGATCACAAGGCGCAAGTGCCTTGGTGAAGACATCAGCAGTGTTGGCCTCAGAGGCCACGTACGCAAGTCGCAACTGTCCACGCTGCTGTAGCTCACGAGCAAGAAAGTAGCGGAGAGCAATGTGCTTCGTTCTGTGCTCCAGTCGCTGCTCTCGACACAAGGCCAGCATGGCCTTGTTGTCTACGTACAGGACTGGAGGAGAACGAGGCTGCTCTCCAAGGTCGGTCAGCAGGTAGGTGAGCCAGCGTAACTCCTGTGCAGCCATAGCCCCAGCGTAGATCTCAGCCTCACAACTGGAGCCGAGAACAGAAGACGAGCGGGTAGCCCGCCACGAGACAGAGCCGGAACCAAGGCTGAAGGTGTAACCCTGTGACGACCGCTGCGTAGCCTGGTCGTCAGCCCAAGAAGCGTCTGCGTGCCCAGTGAGGACCACTGGACTGCGCCCTCCAAGCACTAGCCCCATGCCCGACGTACTGCACAAGTAGCGCAACACCCTCTTCGCTGCAGCCATGTGCTCTGGTCGGTGTCTCCCAGGAGCAACAAAGCGTGCGAGAATGCTAAGAGGGTATGCGAGGTCAGGTCGTGTGCAGGTCATCAGGTACATGAGGCAGCCAACAAGCTCTGCAAACGGGCCACTCGACTCTACGGACTCATCCGAAGGCAGAGCTGAGAGCGAGTGGCGAGTAGGCAGAGGAGTGGCCTGAGGCGAGGAGTACATGAAGCCGAAGCGCTGAAGGACCTGCTGCACCATGTGTGACTGAGTCAGGGTAATGGTGCGGCGTGCTCTGTCCCGGGTGATCTGCAAGCCAAGGTAGCTGCGCAGTTCACCCAGGTCAGTGCACGTGTGTCTCTTCTGCAGCTCGGACTTCACGTAGGCGAGTCCAGCAGTGTCAGCTGTGGCAAAGACCAAGTCGTCGACGTACACGAGGATGTAGAACGGCGGCAGAGAGGTGTCGGTGCGCAGAAACAGCGACGGGTCGGCAGTAGAAGGAGCAAACCCAAGTGCCGCGAGCGTAGTCCTCAGTGTGTCGTGCCACTCACGTGGCGCCTGGCGGAGACCGTAGACTGGACGCCGGAGACTCCACTGGGTACCAGGAGGGAACGACCCAGTGAAGCCAGGTGGGCGACGCAGCCAGATCTCCTCGTGCAGGCTGCCCTGCAAGAAAGCTGTGCTGAAGTCGAGAGAGTGCAGCTCGTAGTCAAGGTGAGCAGCAACGTGCAGCAGAACCCGAAGAGTGGTCATCTTCGGGGTGGGGGAGAAGGTCTGAAAGTAGTCAACCCCCTGCCGCTGACTGAAGCCACGAGCCACGTAACGCGCCTTGAAGACAGGCGGAGAACCCGGCGGCCGCTTCACCCTGAAGATCCACATGCCACTGACGATGTTCGCCCCAGGAGGGGGAACAGCGTCAACGTAGGTGCCTGTGGACTTCCAGGAAGCCATCTCTGCATCCATAGCTGCCTGCCACTGAGAGGAGTAGGGACCCTCTATCGCCTCCGCGTAAGAGCGCGGAGTCAGGATGTCTGGTGCATCCGGGTCTCCCTCAGGGGCTAGCAGTACAGACGCGAGACGAGGTGAAGCGGCGGCCAGACACTGGAACTCCTCCTGCCTGTCCTCAAGGACGTCCGTGCCAAGGGCACACTCACCCCCGACGGACGGAGGACAGGCGGACTCAGACCCAGTGACAAGACGAGCAGCGTAGTCTAGACGGCAGCGCGCAGCAAAGTCGACAAGCTCAGTGACAAGGGCAGACGCAGCAGACGACTCGAAGGAAGGGTCAGTGACAGCAGTAGCAAGGAGACGCGTGACAGTAGGACTGGCAGCACGAAGAGAGTCCGACTCCGGGTCGGCAAGAGCAGGAAGAGAGGAAGCAGGAGGAGAAGGCAAAGGGGCACGCAGAGGAGCGGTAGACGGACGCAGTGACATCCGGTGCGTGCCAGGGACAGGAGGAGGACGCTGACGCGACCCGCGACCACTAGCGCGCTCAGTACGAACAGGCGACACAGGACGAGACGCAGGCTCACGACGCTCAGTAAGACCTCCAGTCGGACCAGCGTAGGGAGAAGGAGCAGGCAAAGGGGAGGCAGGCGGTAGCTGTGGCTGTGACCGGACAGGCTGCGGACCCTCTAAGGGAGGAGGAGGAGGTGTAAGACCAAGAACCTGCTGCAGGAGCGGAACGAAGTACGGTCGGGGCCGCGCGGCGACGCTAGAAACAGCAGGAACAGCACCAGCAGCCCCGGCAGGAGCACCCACTCCAGCAGCACCTCCAGCAGCACCAGAACCTCCAGCAGCAGCACCAGGAGCACTGTCAGTCGGACCGCCAACGGCAGGCTCAGCGCCAACACCCTCAGCAGTACCAGCTCCAGGAGAACTCTCAGACCCAGCAGCTCCAGCACCCACAGTACGAGCACCGGCGGGACGCGCGGCAGCAGTACCCTCTGCAGTCGAAGAACCACCAGCACCAGCAGCACGCCTCCAGCGCCTGGCAAACCACTCACGCAGCTCCTGTGGGGAGAGTGGCTCCCGGCGAGACGAAGCACCCCCAGGCACAGCACCCCCAGGCTCAGCACCCCCAGGCCCAGCACCCCTAGGCACAGCACCTCCAGGCTCAGCACCCCCAGGCACAGCACCCCCAGGCGCAGCACCCCCAGGCTCAGCACCCCTAGGCACAGCACCCCCAGGCACAGCACCCCCAGGCTCAGCACCCCCAGACTCCGCACCCCCAGGCTCAGCTCCCGCAGCAGCACCAGAGTCACCAGTGACCTCGACAGGCTCGACCGCGTCTACCTGGGACACACCTGAAGGGGCAGGACCCTGAGGGGGGAGGGGGACTACCGGGGGGGGACCTGGTACCAAGAAGAGCGGGGGTGGGGGGAGGGACGGAGTGCGGTAGGGGAAGAGGCGGTAGTAGGGTACCGACTCGTCGAACGTGACGTCCTGGGAGGACAGAACACGTCGAGAGGTGGGGTGGTAAAACTGCCACCCAGGGGCGTCGGGGGGGAACCCCAGGAAGACGCAGGGAGAAGCACGAGGGGACAGCTTGTCCGCAGACAGGTCGCGAACAAACGCCCGAGATCCCCAGACCCGGAACGCCGACGCATCGCCAACCTTCCCCGTCCACAGCAGGGCTGGGGAGGTCTTTGGTCGAGAGACCCTGGGGTGGAGGTTGATCTGGTGCGCAGCGTACCTGACCGCAAACGGCCACAGAAAATGGGGAGCAGCCGCATGCATCATGGACGTACGAGCGACGTCCATGACCATGCCAATGCGGCGCTCAGCAATCCCATTCTGCTGTGGTGAGTCCGGAAGCGTGAAGGTCTGACGGATGCCTCGCGCACGACAGTAGGCACTCAGGAGGCCAGAGGAGAACTCTCCGCCTCTGTCCGAGTGCAAACGCAAAACAGGGAAGTCAGAGCCAAAGCTCCTCCGAAGCTGGAGACGAGCTGCGCGGATCCAGTCGATCAACACCTCAGTGACCTCACCCTTGCTGCGCAAGGGGAAGACTGTGGTGTAACGCGAGTAGTCGTCAACCACCAGCAGGAAGTAGCGCTCCTGACCCTGTCCACGGACGCGGGCTGGGCCCCACACGTCCATGTGAAGCGTCTGCAACGGGGCCTCTGTCGGAGGAAACTGGGAGGAGTGAGGGGCAGCACGCTGGCGCCCCTCGACACAGGGGACACAGGTAGGGCCAGGGCCCGGAGGAAGAGGAGGGAGGGACCGGGGAAGACCAGACACAAGGACTCGCGAGGCCATGCCTCTGAGCCGAAGCAGAGAGGGGTGGCCAAGGCGGTGGTGCCAGAGGAGGGTCTCGTGAGACAGACGACGACACGAGCAGGGGGCAGACTCAGGACCAGACCTGGACGCTGCAGCAAACACCTGACCAGACGAAGGGACCCTACCAGACGTAGCACCTGGAGGAGAAGCAGTGGTCAGTGTGTACAGGCTCGACCCTGGGCGACGTGTAAACGTAGCCAGGTGGCGACCTGTATCCGCCTCCGTGCAGTGGGTCACCCGCTGACGAGCAGGGGTGAACTGGTGGACACCCGCATCCTGGAGGTCAGCACCACTCACCAAGTTCGTCGAGAACGAGGGGAGGTAAAGACCAGTCAGGGTGCCAGAGGGGGCCGCCGGACACGGGAGGACAGTGGAGAAGCGAGACAGGACAGGCCCCCCAGAGGGGTCAGCCAGGGACACCGCAACCGGCCGACTCAGCGGCGTGAGAGTGGTGCGGTCCCTAAAGAAGGAGCGAGACGCTCCAGAGTCAAGGGTGAAGGTGTGAGAGGCCGAAGCCGACACAGTACCTGAGAGGGCAGACTCACCAGCACCTGAAAGCACAGACGCACTGGCACCTAGAGCAGCAGCCTCACTAGTACCTGACGCGGCAGTACCAATGCCCGGGTCGGGCGGGAAACACCGGTAACAGTCATCCTCATCACTACCAGTCACAGCATACATAGCAGAGAGAATAGCATCAAAATCAAGATCATAAATAGCTACACCAGCCCTAGACAGCTCTCCCCAGCGGGGGATCTCAGCGGCCTCCGGAAACTGCTGACGCCAGGCGTCGGTCAGGCGGCCAAAGCAGCGGCGGGCTGTGTGGGCGCCTCCACACCTCTCCCCTGCACGGTCACCGGTGCGAAGAACGTAGGGGCAGGGACCAAGCGCACCACCACGCTGACGCTGCAAGTACCACTCACGGAGCTGCTGAGGGGCGAGGACGGTGCGAGAGCGCTGCTG